TTGATGTATAAATAAATTTTTATTTATTAAAGTTTGCTTTGTTCGAAAAGTAGTTTTAATAAATACGAAGGGATGCCAATTTCAATTCAAAAAGTAACCCTATTAAAATCATATAAGCCTATAACAGCCATTGCAAGGGAAAATATTATTGGACTAGCCTTTTTTCTTTTTTCTTTTTTTTTTTTAAAGTAACTTTTATTGGAAAGGGAAAGAAAGGAGGTTCAATTAGCAAAGCCAATGAGATGCTTTGCTTGCTTGGCTTAATCAACAATGATTTTTTTTAATTAATTTTTTAGTATTTAATAATCATATTAACTCTTAATTAATATAAAATTAAATCACATCAAATTTCATAAAAAAAAATTTTTTTAATATTTATTTTTTTATTAATTAAATTTAAATTCAAAATTTTATTTTAAAAAATTAAATTTTGTTCACTCCAACAACGTATCGTTTATCAACAATGATTGCAATTGCACTATTCTATTTTTGAGAGAGAGAAAAAAAAAAAAAAAAGCCACTCCGTTCCGTTATTTGACACAAGCAATGAAGCAACGGCGTTTGCTGAAATCCAGATAATCCAGCGCCAAGCACACCTGCCAACGTAGAGAAGACGCGCGGGACATTTTCAACGGCCCGGATATTTTAACGTATGACCGACGTGTTACTTTACCTACAGAATTTCGAAATCTCTGGAACCCCCTAGAGAAGTTTTGACTCCAGAAAAGAGGAGCGGGAGAGTGCTCCACAGAAACACCTATATTTTATCCACCGTCCGTTTCAATTCATCTGACGGCTCACAATCAACTCCTAGGACATTCTAGAGAAAACGATTTTATCTTTAAAAACAGCATCTTTTCTCTTCTTCCCAACAGAACTATCGAATTACTGAAAACTTTGCTCTGTGAATTCTCTCTTAAGTTCTTTTTGCTCGTTTCTGAGAGTTCTTGGTTTATTCTGAGTTGTTATGGCGGGCAAAGGTGAGGGTCCGGCTATTGGGATCGACCTCGGGACGACCTACTCGTGTGTTGGTGTCTGGCAGCATGATCGTGTGGAGATTATTGCCAACGATCAGGGCAACAGGACAACACCGTCGTATGTGGCGTTCACTGACACGGAGCGTTTGATTGGCGATGCGGCCAAGAACCAAGTCGCCATGAACCCGACCAACACCGTTTTCGGTAAGTTCTCAGCACATCTACTTGAGTTGATCCACTTTGTGATTTGAAGTTTATAACTGATGAATTTCGAAGCAGGGTTTTAAAGTATAGTTAGATAATCAAAATTCAATTAATAGGGGGCTCGTTAAAACCGTTCTGTGGCAATTACTCGTTAGGAAGAGATAACGAACAGCATGAGTTATTCCAAGACGATTTTTTGTGATTGGCTTAGTGAATTTTGAGGCGTCAGTGAGTAAGAAGTTGTTCAAACAGAACTAGTGAGTCTAGTTGATACTTGATCTATTGTTGTTTTAATTGTCTGGTTTAATGATGTACAGAGAATCGGAGGAAAGTATTGCTTTTTCTTATGAGGTTTTTATATAATTTGCGTAAGTGATGTTGAAGAAGTAATTAGCTTAAGATCAATGTTTAATTTGTTCTCTTGATGCATGCAGATGCCAAGCGTTTAATTGGTAGGAGATACAGTGATCCATCAGTTCAAAGTGACATGAAGTTGTGGCCATTCAAGGTTATTGCTGGCCCTGGTGACAAGCCCATGATTGTGGTTAACTACAAGGGTGAAGAGAAACAATTTGCAGCTGAAGAAATTTCCTCCATGGTGCTTATGAAGATGAAGGAGATTGCTGAGGCCTACCTTGGCTCCACGATTAAAAATGCAGTTGTTACTGTGCCTGCATATTTCAATGATTCCCAGCGCCAGGCCACGAAGGATGCTGGTGTGATTTCTGGTCTCAATGTCATGCGTATCATCAATGAGCCAACTGCTGCAGCAATTGCCTACGGACTTGATAAGAAGGCTGGTAGTAGTGGAGAGAAGAATGTGCTAATCTTCGATCTTGGTGGTGGTACTTTTGATGTCTCCCTCCTCACCATTGAAGAGGGTATTTTTGAAGTGAAGGCCACAGCTGGTGACACCCACTTGGGAGGTGAAGATTTTGACAACCGAATGGTGAATCACTTTGTGCAGGAGTTCAAGAGGAAGCATAAGAAGGATATCAGCGGAAATCCTAGAGCTTTGAGAAGGCTGAGGACAGCTTGTGAGAGGGCTAAGAGGACTCTCTCTTCTACAGCTCAGACTACGATTGAGATTGATTCTTTGTATGAAGGAATTGACTTCTATACCACTATTACCCGCGCAAGATTTGAAGAATTGAATATGGATTTGTTCAGGAAGTGTATGGAGCCTGTGGAGAAGTGCTTGAGAGATGCCAAGATGGATAAAAGCAGTGTCCATGATGTGGTTCTCGTTGGTGGGTCTACCAGGATCCCCAAGGTCCAGCAATTGTTGCAAGACTTCTTCAATGGGAAGGAGCTTTGCAAGAGCATTAATCCTGATGAGGCTGTTGCTTATGGTGCTGCTGTTCAGGCTGCAATTCTGAGTGGCGAAGGTAACGAGAAGGTGCAAGACCTTCTGTTGCTTGATGTTACTCCGCTTTCTCTTGGTTTGGAGACTGCAGGTGGTGTCATGACAGTTCTGATTCCAAGAAACACAACCATTCCAACGAAGAAAGAGCAGGTGTTCTCTACCTACTCTGATAATCAGCCTGGTGTCTTGATTCAAGTGTATGAAGGTGAACGTACAAGAACCCGTGACAACAATTTGCTAGGAAAGTTTGAGCTCACTGGCATTCCTCCAGCTCCCCGTGGTGTTCCTCAAATCAATGTCTGTTTTGACATTGATGCTAATGGCATCCTGAATGTCTCCGCTGAAGACAAGACCACTGGACAGAAGAACAAGATTACCATCACCAATGACAAGGGCAGATTGTCTAAGGAGGAGATTGAAAATATGGTACAAGAAGCAGAGAAGTACAAGGCAGAGGACGAGGAGCATAAGAAGAAGGTGGAGGCAAAGAATGCACTTGAGAACTATGCTTATAACATGAGGAACACGATCAAGGATGAGAAGATTAGTGCTAAGCTTCCGGCTGCAGACAAAAAGAAGATTGAGGACGCCATCGAGCAAGCCATCCAGTGGCTTGATGGAAACCAGCTTGCAGAGGCAGATGAATTTGAGGATAAGATGAAGGAATTGGAGAGCATTTGCAATCCAATCATTGCAAAGATGTACCAGGGAGGTGCTGGTGGTGACATGGGTGGAGCCATGGATGAGGACGGTCCTTCAGTCGGCGGTGGAAGTGGTGCTGGACCCAAGATCGAGGAAGTCGATTAAGGAGTTATGGTTGGATAAACTGGTGTGATATCATAAGTGACTTGCTTTTACATTATGTTCCCCTTATTTTTTTGTTTTGTGACGCAATACTTTGTTTTTCCGGTGGCTGTTCTACCGGAGTATGGAACCATATAATATGGATGGTGCTTTGTTTCTGTAATATCGATTAGGCACATCTTATTTTTGAGTTCCACTCGCATTTGATTAAAGGGAAAAGGGCAATAATAGTCATATGATAGAAGGGATAAAATACAAATAAGACTTACGTTATGTTATATATATGAAGACAAATTAGTTCCTTTTCAGCCTAGAATTAGAGAGAATTATAAACTAAAATAGGTAAATTATACATAATTTAATTGTAAAATAGGTAAGGGCAAATAGTATAAATAATCCAGTTAGAAGAAAGATTGTTGGATCTACGAAGAGGAATTAAGCCATAAAACACTGGGATTTTTCTCAGTTGAATCCAATGCTTATTTCCGAGAAAGATGATAAGAGAGTCGGGAGTGAAGAAAATGAAGGAGACAACGGCTTCTGATGGGAAGACTGTTTTGTTCGGACACGCGGCGATGAGAGTGGGAGACGGTGGAGGCGATATGCCTCGAATTGAAGTAATGATGAAGGTTTTTAAATTTTGGGATTGAACTGAAAAGGGTTCCGATTTTGCTTATGGTGACTAGCGACCCACTGGAAACTCTGGTTAATGAGGGATCAGCCCAATATGTGGCCCGGTTAGGATAGGGATCTTGAATCTACCTTAAAGGGCCATATGGCCTCATTCCAAGATCCAACTTCCAATGTCCAACCTCTAATAAAATAGATCAAAGTATCAAACATCTTCTATGTTGATCAACAAAATTATGGAGTGTTTTAAACTATAAAATAAGGAATTGTTGAAAATTAAGATATAATGGTGATTAAAATATCATAAATAATGATAAAAAAATGTAAATATTCTTAATAAATCAATAAAAAAATTCATTAATTCTTGATTTTTATTTTTTTAAGTATAGAATAAATAAATAAATAAAAATAAGTGGGGTGTTTTTCCTTTTAAAGTTGGGCATTTAACATTTAGGGCTACCTTTCATACTGACTAGCTACTTACTGAACACCGCTATGGGCAATTACACAGTACTATATAAACTAGTAATAGATTAGATTGATGTTGATATAATACAAGTTATCCAAAAAAAATTAACTTCAAACTTATAAGGACTACGTGAATCCGAGAAAATAACTCAATTAATCCCATCATGGAAGGAAAACTTAACCAAACACATCTCAGATATTGTTGACTCATAATGTTGCTTCCACAGTTGGTCTCTCTCAAGAGCCTTGACAAGAGAAAAAGTCAAAGAAAGGTGGATCAACAGACCCTTCATCATCCAAACCAGTAGCCTCATACGAGCTTGTAGTTGTAAAATTTCCAGCCGAAGTTGATCCGATAGCGGACACCCCAGTCATTCCCTCCAGAATCCCAGTTGGGTGCAAGGGGAAAAGAGGCAAGGTTTCATTGTGACCGTTGTCACCATTGTCATTGCTGTTTCTGCGGTCACCTTCACTCATATGCAACATATTGGAATAATCCTTCTGGACAACGTCATATTCAAAGCCTCCACAGTTTTTGGTCTTCTCCATCTTCGCATCACTGGTACTAGCCCTTGCCTTCCTCTTGAAGCTTCCCGGTAACAGTACCTTCGGATATTGATGAGGATGGTATAACTGTAAATCACCTTGTGGTATGAAATACGGCCCACAGACAACTGCAGAGAAAAAAAGAAAAAGAAAAAAGGAGAGAGATTGAGATTAGAGAAGAACTCAACTTGTTGAAAATGGGCTTTTAATGGATCAAGAATGAGCTAATATAAATTCATATTCATTATTTCACATATCATTTTTTTAAAATAAATATTAATTCGTAAGCCAAAAAATTAAAGAAATAGAGTTTGGGAAATAACCATTTGGGCCAGGAGGAGGATACAGGGCTGGCTGAGTCCTGTGAAGATAACGATTGATGTACGCCATGTTTTCCTGCTTCTGTTTTTGCCTTTGCCTCGCCTTATGATTCTGAAACCAGTAGAACACATTCTTTCCTTCAATGTGGCCGTAAGCCTTGAGCCTACTCGTTATCTGCTGTATCTGATTTGCACTTGGCGTTCTTATTCCCTGATTATAAAAGCTTTCCAGCATGCTTATTTGCTCTTTGGTCGGATTCCACCTTGGATTCCCCGAAGTTACACCGTTCCCGGCCATGTCCATGTTGTCACCTTCCATTTTAGACACAACACAAGAACTCAAGCGGAGAACAAACCAGTTCTGTCCTCTGGCCTGATTCTCTGGTTTTAAGTTTGATAAATAAAAGGAAAGAGACAGCAGAAAAAACTAAGAGAGAAAGTGTGGTGTTTGCATGGTTTTGTCTGGCCTGATTCTCTGGTTTTAAGTTTGATAAATGAAAGGAAAGAGACAGCAGAAAAAACTAAGAGAGGAAGTGTGGTGTTTGCATGGTTTTGTCCTCATTTATATGCGAAAAGAAGATGGAGGGTCAAAAAAGTGAGAGAGAGATGGATTGACATGCGTATTGTTTTTAGTGCTAAAAGACTCTGAAAACATGGCGGGTAGCGGCGGAGGATGGCATTGAGAAAACGAGGAAAATTTGAAAAGACAGAATAATTTGCTTTTTTAAAATTTTATTTTCTTTTTCAGACATTTTTGGAGTGTTCGATAATTGTGGTGGGGATTGTGGTTTTTGCCTTTTGAAAAAATGTTTAGGTTGTTAATTTTTTTAATATATTTAAAAAATATTTAAAATATTAATTTATTAATTAATTTTAATATAATAATTAATAAATATTGATTATTTTTATTAATTAAATAAAATATAATTAATATTATTTTTAATAATTTTAATATTTTAAGTAGTGGTTGTAATCCTGTCCTTGTTGATTTCTTGGTTTGTTGCTTTATTTGCTTCAGTCTCGGGAATGAAAGAAGTACACTGTAAGAAGAAACAAAGGATAAGCCATTGAGGGAAAGGGAGGGGAAAAAGAAAAGACAGGCCGGTGTTAGGTTGTAAGGCGTAGGTAAAGGCTAGGCTTTGGGAATTGAAGTACATGAGAGCAGATGGGTTCATGCAGATGAAGTCGAAGCGTATAGGTCACTGTGTCCTTAAATGGGAGGATAGGTGCCCTCACGTATGTGGCCAATGCCTCTTTGTACAGCGTGCTCAATCTCGCCTCGCCTCGCCGCTTGACTTTCCATGATTCCATCACGAGAATGTTCAAGAAATCATCAATCACTCTAAACGAAAAAGAAAAGGAATCAATTACTTTGTTGTAAAGATTTTTTTTAATTTGTATTTTTAATATATATTTTTTATATTAACTTATATTTAAAACATAAAAGTTATTTATTTAATTCAAAATTTTAATTAAAATAATATATACTTGACATTAATAGTAAAATTAAAATTAACTTTATATTACATTCTTAACACATAATATTAAGGTGTATAAAAAACCTTATCCAAAATATATATGTTGGTGCATGAGTAACTTTGTTCTTTTTTTTTTTTTTTGAAAAACAATAAGTTCAATTAAGTAAAATATTGAATTTGATTATTATAAATGAAAAAATATGTATTATAAAAGTTTTTTTGGTATTAGATTTAAAATGATTCGATTTTAAATTAATCTAATCTGATTATGAGATACCAAAATTTAATAAAAAAAATTAAATCATTATAATTGAAGAAATTAGGATCCCAAATATTACAATTGAAAAGTTAAAGAACCAAAGTGGCCCACAATGAGAAGGTATA